GATCGAGATCCGGGATCGAGTTCCGCGTCGGGCTCCTGGCATGGAGCCTGCTTCTCCCTCTGCCTGTGTCTCTGCTTCTCTCTCTCTCTCTCTCTCTCTATGTCTATCATAAATGAATAAATAAATAAATCTTTAAAAAAAAAAGATTTACGTTTAAGAAGTAGAGAAGGATCCTGACCTATTCTATTACCATCTGTGTTCGTAAAAGGATAAAGACATTTTAAGTTAGGGGGTATTTTTGTGAACAAGACTAAGCCTTCTTTTTACACTTTGCTTTTTTTTTTTTAAGATTTTATTTATTTATTCATTAGAGACATGGAGAGAGGCCTAGGCAGAGGGAGAAGCAGGCTCCATGCTGGGAGCCCGATGTGGGACTCGATCTCAGGACTCCAGGATCACGCCCTGGGCTGAAGGCAGTTGCTTAACCACTAACCACTGAGCCACCCATGTGTCCCTACACTTGTTTTAAATCCCTATTAGAGGGGTACCTGGCTGGCTCACTTGATGGAACATGTGACTCTTGATCTTGGAGTCCTGAGTTTGAGCCCGATGTTGGTGTAAAGATTACTTTAAAAAAAGAAAAAGAGGGCAGCCTGGGTGGCTCAGCGGTTTAACTGAAAGGAAAACTGTTCAGCAAGAATGGGGATGTGTAAGTTGGAGATTTTAAATGCCCGTTCCCACTGTCTTCAGGTTGTGCTACGCAAGAGTCATCTTAGATTATTTTCTTCCAGGACTCTTCTTGTCAAGGAGCAGGTGGTGATGAATAGGGAGACTGAAACTTTTCACTTCCTCTCATTAAAGAAAACTTGGTTAGAATGATATAGAAATTGGAAAAGTTAAGGTCTACCTCCTTAAGATTTCTTCTTTTCCATGATTCCTCCTTAATTTTTCTTGATGTTCTTCGAATGAGAAAAAAAATTTTTTAATTGGTTTGTGATGAGAAAAAGGTCACACGTTGCAAAATAATAAAGTGGGTGCAGAAAAAAGTAAGATATACTAATATGCAGGTGTAACACTCAGTGTTCTAAAAATGATCTTTAATGAGTTATCAATTGTATACAGTATAACTCACCAATTTTAAGTGTATAATTCCATGAGTTTTTTTTATTATTTTTATTATTTTTAATTTTTTTATTCATGAGAGACACAGAGAAAGAGGCAGAGACACAGGCAGAGGGAGAAGCAGGCTTCATGCAGGGAGCCTGAGGTGGGACTCGATCCCGGGTATCCAGGATCACACCCCAGGCGAAAGGTGGAGCTAAACCGCTGAGCCACTGGGGATGCCCAATTCCATGAGTTTTGACAAATGTATGCAGTCTGGTAACGATACCACAATAGAAGGATAGAATGTTTTTGTCACCCCCCAAAAGTTCCCTTGTACCCCTTTGTTGTCAGTCCTCTCTCTCCACTCCCTGGCAATCACTCATCTATTTTCTGTATCTATACCTATGTCTTTTTTTAGAATATCCTACAAACAAATGTGCGCAGTCTGTAGTCTTCTGTGGCTAGCTTATTTCATGTAACATAATGCTTTTGAGATTCATCAGCATTGTTGCATGTATCCATTGTTTGTTCCTCTTTATTTCCTTTCTCCCTTTATCATGTTTCCTCCACCTTTCTCAGTGTATGGAGGATAATTAGCATTTTGTGCCTCCTTGTCTGCCAATACTCTGTTATTTCTGGTATGTCTCTGTTGATTGACTTATCTCCTGGTTGGTGGGTCGTATTTTCCTGTTTCTTTAAATGCTTAGAATTTTTTATTGTATGCCAGATGATGTAAATTTTACATTATCAGGGGCCTGCACTTTGTCGTATTCCTTTATTTAGGTAGTGTTGGACTTTGTTATTAGTATCAGTTGGATCAAAAAAAGAAAGAAAAAAAAAAGAATCAGTTGGATCATGGGGCGGCCCTGGTGGCACAGTGGTTTGGCACCGCCTGCAGCCCGGGGTGTGATCCTGGAGACCCGGGATTGAGTCCTACTTCGGGTTCCCTGCATGGAGCCTGCTTCTCCCTCTCCCTGTGTCTCTGCTTCTCTCTCTGTGTCTCAATAAATAAACAAAATCTTTTAAAAAAATAAATAAGAATCAGTTGGATCCTTTCCAGACTTGCTTTTAAGGTTTGTTAGAGTGGATCCACAGCAACTTTTAGTCTAGGGCTAATTTCACTCCCCAGCTAAGTGTGATTCTGAGGTCTTTAATTTGGGGAGGTGAAAATATGGTCAGCTCCACATGAGCACCAGAAACTGTTCACTGCTTTCTGGTGGCTCTTTCCCCAGGCCCTGGAGGTTTCTTCTCATGCAGGGCAGATGACACTTTGCCAAATGCTCAAGAGGACCCTTCCTCAGAGCCTCCCCCCCCCCCCCCCCCGCCTCCACCTCTCCCTTTGCACCTCTCTCCTCTCCTGTTTGCTCCCAACAAATCCTAGCCACCTTAGCATCCTCAGCTCCCATCTCCGGTATCCTCACCTGACCAGGCTAGGTTCCTCTCCCTGAGCAGAAGCCTGGGACCTGCCTCTAGCAGTCACGGAGCAATCCAGAGGCTCATGTCTGGTCTTCCTCGTCTCCAGCACAGTTCTGTGCTGCCAATGACCTGGTGTTTGAAAACCATTTTATGTACATTTTCTTTTATGTGCTTTGTCTAATTTTTTGTTGATTACAGCAGAAAGGTAAATCTGGTCCTGGGTAGTCTATCCTGGCCAGAAGTAGAAGTCTCACTTTCTAAATGTAGAATAAGCATGTACTGGTATTTGTGGAGAAAAACTTGGGCACAGGGGCTCATCAGTTCTCAGCGTACCTAAATGTAATATACTTTAATGTCTGCTTTGTTATTTTAAGACAAGTGTCATCACTGAAGTGGCATTCTTCAGCATTCACAGTAAGCCAGTCTAAACTTGAGTATTATTCTCTGGTCCACTTGAAATTATTTGCACAAACTATTAACTTGGGGTTATTTGTAACAGACTTATCTAGGGTATCTTTTCATCAATGAATGGATGGGTTGGTATTCTTTTTTTTTTTTTTTTTTTTGATGGGTTGGTATTCTAAAGGACATTTGTTAACCACCTGTATTTCTGATCGACGGGATTAACTTATCTTTTGAATTGTATGATATATGTATTTTTTAAAATGTGAATTTCTTGACTCTCTAATGTATGTGAAAAAACAACTGCAACCTTTTCTTGTTTGTGAGTATTCGTGGCTGAAAAGACCTTGTAACAGTTGTTAGTCCTTTGCAAGCTGATGTTTTGAATTTAGGCTTATCTTTAGAACAGAACAATTGTTTGGACCTCTGTTCATAGACTGACCTACCATAATGTCAAAAACCAGTCCAAATATTTAGCAGTTTCAGAAAATTTTGTTTAAGATCTTATTTATTTGAGACCACATGAGAGAGAGGAAAGCAGGGGGAGGGGCAGAGCGAGAGGGAGAAGCAGACTCCTTTCTGAGCAGGGAGCTCGATTCCAGGACCCTGGCATCAGGACCTGAGCCAGAGGCAGATGCCAAACTGACTAAGCCACCCAGGCACCCTGAGAAATGTTTGTTTTAATACATTTGTATTTTAGGGATGAACAAATTAGGATTAAAAATATGATTTTACATTATTATGGATACACTGTTGTCTGATAGAGGTTTCAGGGAAATGGTGACATAAAATCAAACTCTGAAGAGGAGAATTTTTTTTTTTTAATTTTTTTTTATTTATTTATGATAGGCACACAGTGAGAGAGAGAGAGAGGCAGAGACACAGGCAGAGGGAGAAGCAGGCTCCATGCACCGAGAGCCCGACGCGGGACTCGATCCCGGGTCTCCAGGATCGCGTCCTGGGCCAAAGGCAGGCGCTAAACCGCTGCGCCACCCAGGGATCCCCTGAAGAGGAGAATTTGAAGCTCTAAATGGCTCTAGATCTGATCTTATTTGTAAAATTATTTGCAGTGCAGTTCATTGGAATGAATATTGAAGTCCAGAAAGTTAGGTCCTAGTCTCAGCTGTGCCTTATTACTTACTGTGTGACGCTAGGCCAGTCACCACCTTTGTGAGAGTTGCCTAATCAAATAAAGAGAACAGTGAATATTTTACCTACTGTGAAGGAATGGTAGAATGTTAAATGAGGTGTATTGATGAGAATGTTTGAAGATGCTAATGTGTCACGAAAATACTAATAGTTAAACTTAACTTTGTACATTATTACAAAATCTGCCAGGGCAGCCCAGGTGGCACAGCGGTTTAGCGCCGCCTGCAGCCCGGGGCGTGATCTGGAGACCCTGGATCGAGTCCCACGTTGGACTCTCTGTGTGGAGCCTGCTTCTCCCTCTGCCTGTGTCTCTGCCTCTCTCTCTCTCTCTCTCTCTCTCTCTCTCTCTCTCTCTCTCTCTGCATCTCTATGAATAAATAAAATCTTTTAAAAAAAATCAATCTGCCAATAATACCTACTGTGACAGAATACAAAGCAAGATTTATTTTTATATTTCATACAGTTTGTTCTGTGAAAATATTTTATGTTAGAAATGCATAACCAGGGAAGCAGGGGTAGCTCAGCGGTTTAGCGCCGCCTTCAGCCCAGGGCCTGATCCTCGGGACCCGGGATCGAGTCCCATGTTGGGCTTCCTGCATAGAGCCTGCTTCTCCCTCTTTCTGTGTCTCTGCTTCTGTGTGTGTGTGTGTGTCTCTCTCATGAATAAATAAATAAAAGCTTAAAAAAAAAAAGACATGCAGAACCAAACATAGGACTGGCTGATAGAATGGAGATAGAGGAGATTGCTGTCTTTTCTCCACTCCTTTTTTTTTTTTTTTTAAGATTTTATTTATTTACTCATAGAGAGAGGCAGAGACACAGGCAGAGGGAGAAGCAGGCTCCATGCAGGGAGTCCGACGCAGGACTCAATCCCAGGTCTCCAGGATCACACCCCGGGCTGCATGCGGCGCTAAACCGCTGTGCCATTGGGGCTGCCCCACTCCTTTTGTCTTAATATTATTTTTATTTTCCTCCTCATGATTTTCCAGGCAAACAGTGTATACAGCAGTTAGCTGAAAACACCAGGTATTTCAGGAGACGTCTGAAAGAGATGGGCTTCATCATCTATGGAAATGAAGATTCTCCAGTGGTGCCATTGATGCTCTACATGCCAGCCAAAATTGGGTATGTTCTATTGCAGATTACAGACTGTCCTCTGATTAGTCTTAAGGTTCCTGTGATATTAGACTCGGGCTTATGTATTTTGTTAGGAAAAAGTGTCTTGGCCTCATTATGTTAACCTTCATTTGCTAGAAATTCCATAGATTAAATAGTGGATTCCAGTTTTTAAAATATGTTAGCTTATTAGTCTTTCATTAAACAAACATTGAGTTTAATGCTCTCTTCTAGGAGATTGTGATAGATCAGTGGACAGAGCACAGTAAAAATACCGGTCCCTATGGAGCTTATGTTCTAATGAGGCAGGAGTCAGACAAACATAATAAATAAGTTATGTATTTGTATTACATGTTATGGGGAGAAGTAGAGCAGGTTATGGGGGATTGAGAGGGCCCCATGGGCAGGCAGATGACAGTATTAAATGGGGTGGTGGGGGGTGAGCCTATGGAAAGGGAAGGTAACATCTGAGCTTGAAGGAGCAGAGTTAGCCATGTGGAGAAAAGTTCCGTGCAAAGGCCATAACACAGGAACATATTTAGCTGATTGAGGAATAGCAAGAAGGCGAGTGGAGCTGAAATGCAGTGCCCGAGGGAGAGTAGTGAGCTCTAAGGTTAGGGCATGTTATTGCATGGCTTCCCAAGGTGCAGATTACACCAGTTTCTTTGGTTTGTGCAACTAGTGTATAATGGAAAGCTTTGCCCTAGAATAGCTTCCAATGTATTTGAGAAGTCCAGACGTATAATGGAACCAGAAGACATTTGAAAAGTAATATGAAGTGAGCAAATACAGTTCTTTGCAAAATAATTGTATGAAAACTGCATCAGAAATGTCAAAGAGGGACACCTGGGTGGCTCAGTGGTTGAGTGTCTGCCTTTGGTTCAGGGTGTGATCCTGGGTCCTGGGCCAAGTCCTGTGTCAGGCTCACTGCAGAGAGCCTGCTTCTCCTTCTGCCTATGTCTCTGCCCCTCTCTGTGTGTCTCTCATGAATAAATAAACTAAATAAATCTTAAAAATAAATAAATTAAAAAATAAAAAATGTAAAATAGGGGCGCCTGGGTGGCTCAATCAGTTAAGCATCTACCTTCAGCTCAGTTCTTGATCATGGGATTGAGCCCCACTTCCAGCTCCCTGCTTGACAGGAAACATGCTTTTTCCCTCTCCCACTTGCCCTGCTTGTGTTCTCTATCAAATAAATAAAATCTTTAAAAAAAAAAAAAAGTTATCTGCTTAGTGTAGACTCAGTAAAACTACAACAACAAAAACACATCTTTTCAGATTTGTGAATTTTGACTGGATCTTTTTTTTTTTTTTACTGGATCTTAAATATAAAATTGGATAAGGATTGTTTCTCAGGTTTAATTGAACTCATTAAAGGAGCAAATATTTTTATTCATCTTTGAATTCCCAGTGCCCACCAGAGTCCCTGGCACTTAGAGGGCACTCAGTAAATGTTTATTAAAATGGATATATAGGAGAGAATATTAAAGCAGGGAACCTAGAAGTAGTAAGAAGGCAGAAAATGGGGAAAAGGTGGACACTGAGAGAAAAAGAGTTGAGTTTTCAATAGGAAGTCATATGCGTGTTTGGCATCATAGCCTTCAGAGGGAGTGGAAAAAATGAACCAAAGCAGAGGTGTAGGATTTTCTCACTCTTCTTTAAATGTAATTATCATAAATAAACAAAGAGTTGTCTGGTCTGAAGGACTTAATCTAGAACTATTTCTTTGGAGGGGACTGTGTCTAACCAATTCTACACAGGTGAAACTGATTTTATACATTATAATAAAGATTTAGAGAGGTTAAGGTGAACAGGAATAAAGAACTAACTAGACCATTTGGGAGGGTGTCCTGAAGATACAGACCTTCCTCAGGGCCAGAGGAAGTACTAGAAAGAGTGGGGAAAGGCTGGCACTCATGTAATTATTTACTGGGATAACCAAAGCATGGGGTATTTCTTATTCTCAAACAAATGCTTTAAAATGCTAAAGGAAGGGGTGGGTACCTGGCTGGCTCAGTCAGAAGAGCATGCGACTCTTGATCTCATGGTTGAGTTCAAGCCCCATGTTGAGTGTAGAGATTAAATAAACTAAAAGTTAAAATGCTAAGGGAATAGTCAAGAAAGGAATATGGTAGGTCCCAACATAATTAGCAAATGAAATTTACGTGAAAGTTAGAATTGTGTTATTTAGACAAGATACAGATGTGCCACAGTTTGGCTTGGGGTGAAGAGTTAAACAAGATTTGTGTAGTCTGGGCTATCAGCTGAAGCCTGGGAATGAGTTTGCTTCACAGACACTAAAGGAAACCCTAAATACCAAAGGCAGCTTAACACTCAAGTTGATCAAAGAAATAAATAGCCTTTGGGATACCTGGCTGGCTCAGAGGAGCGTGTGACTGTTGATCTCAGGATGGTGAGTTCAAGTCTCACATTGGGTGTAGAGATCACCTAAATAAATACATAAACTTAGGAGAGAGAAAAGAAGTGCCTGGTCTGGAGGGCTAAAACTAGTTGGCCATTCTGCCAGTAGAAAGATATCCATGTTACAGTAGATCCTCTGCATTCTTCATCTTAAGAATTGTTTAAACTGCCAAACCTAATACTTTCAAAGACAGAGTTTTAAACTCAATTCATTTTGAAGCCTCTGAACCACTCTTATGTGTCAGGCAAACTTTAAGGCTATAACTGTAAATTAGTTTAGACAAGTCCTATTAAAAAGCAGTCTCTGACAACTATATTCTTTATCTTTGTGAAGGAAACCATTTGGGAGAAGATCACTTTAGGACTGAATTGAAGTTATTCATAACCTGGCAGTTATTTGGGGTTGTTTTTTTTTTTTTTTTTTAAGATTTATTTATCCGTTTTAGAATGAATGAGAGCAAGTGGGCTGGGGGGAAGGGGCAGGGGAGCAGAGGGAGAGGGAGATGAGCAGACTCCCCACTGAGCACAAAGCCCACTGCAATGCTGAGCTCATCCCAGGACCTTGAGATCATGACCTGAGCCCAAATCAAAAGTCAGTTGCCTAACCGACTGAGCCAGCAATTTTAACTTGAAAAGAAGTTAGAGGAAATTCCTAATAGAAGTCCCCAATGTCTTATCACCTAAGAGTTTAAATCATTCAGGACCACAAGACCTTCATGCTGTGGTTTATTACTCTTCCGGGTTTCTTTTTTTTCTTTTTTTTTTTTTAATTTTTATTTATTTATGATAGTCACACACAGAGAGAGAGACAGAGACAGAGACATAGGCAGAGGGAGAAGCAGGCTCCATGCACTGGGAGCCCGACATGGGATTCGATCCCGGGTCTCCAGGATCGCGCCCTGGGCCAAAGGCAGGCGCTAAACCGCTGCGCCACCCAGGGATCCCTCTTCCGGGTTTCTTTACCCTGTTTTCCCCTCACAGCGCCTTTGGACGGGAGATGCTGAAGCGGAATATCGGTGTAGTTGTGGTGGGATTTCCTGCTACTCCAATTATTGAGTCCAGAGCCAGGTTTTGCCTGTCAGCAGCTCATACCAAAGAAATCCTTGATACTGTAAGTAGATACTTTCACCTTGATATAAATATACCTGTATAAATATACATTTATATAAATATCAAATGAAATTGATCATCTGTTGATCCTGAAGTTCTTTGAGCATCTAAGATATTAACTGGTTAAATAGAGGACAGAGTATACAATGCTGCTTAAATCATTGCTGTTTACAAAAAAATTGCAAAGCCATTAGCATTGCCCACTAGACCTTGTGTTATTAGGGTTCTGAGGAGTTTCTGGCTTTATCTTGTTCCACTCTCTCCCTTATTATGGCCTCTACAACTGTATAACTCTCCTTGTTCTCTAGCTGTTTCTACTGTAAGCCTTCTTGTATGTTGTCTTGTCTCTGTAGAATATTCTCTCTTGAACCCCCTCTCTCTTTTGCCTGCCTGACTCCTACTGATTCTTCACATCTCCATTCAAAGGAAACTTGCCCAAGGGAATTCCTCAATCCTCTTGCTCGGTATTTCCTTGGAATCTTAAGATTCCCCCTTAGTAAATCCTTCCTACCTGGAATTATTTAATGGCAGTCATCTCCATTGTATAAAGCTTGAGAGCAGGGACTAAGTCTCTTTTGCTTTTCTATATCTCCAGAACCTACCTTGTAATAACGGCTCGTAGTAATCATAAGCACATGATAACAGCTCATAATTACAGAATCGAATTATGGTCTTAATTTATTCTTATCTTGTGATATTCTGTTAACATGCTATTATTTCGTATCTAAGACTTCAGACATGAAATAAGTAATTCTTTCTGGGAGTTTATTGAACTCTAGAACATAATATTTACATAAAATTATGGTTGATCTTGAACAATACCCGGAACGGGGTGCAGGGTGGTTAGGGGCACTAACACACACCCCCATCCCAGGGTCAAAAATCCACATGTAACTTTTGCCTCCCCCCAGACTTAAGTACTGCTGTCAACTGGAAGCCTCACTGATAACACAAACTGGCACTTAACATGTATTTTGTAAGTTAAAAGTATTATGTACTATATTCTTACAATAAAGCTAAAATAAATAAAATGTTATTAAGATCGTAAGGAAAAGACATTTATAGTACTGTATTTATTGAAAAAAAATCACATATAAGTGGACCCACACACAGTTCAAACCCTCGTCGTTCACGGGTCAGCTGCAGTTGCTAGAAGTATTCCATTAATTCATTGGAAAGCTAATCTTGAATATTATGAGTACATGTTTTTAAGAGTTCTTTGTAGCAATTTATTTGAAATTTTTAAATTTCTGAGCAGCTGAAGACTAATTCTTCTTCCCTATTTCTATATAACAAAATTTCCACAAGTATGAGTATTTTTTTTTTAATTTTTTTTTTTTATTTATTTATGATAGTCACACACAGAGATAGAGAGAGGCAAGGCAGAAACACAGGCAGAGGGAGAAGCAGGCTCCATGCACCAGGAGCCCGATGTGGGATTCGATCCCGGGTTTCCAGGATCGCGCCCTGGGCCAAAGGCAGGCGCTAAACCGCGGCGCCACCCAGGGTTCCCAAGTATGAGTATATTTTTAATCAAATTCCAATACTGGAAATTGGGTTCCGTTTATTATTGATACTTCTTTTTTCTTTATTTTGATTGTTCTTTTCAGATTTTTTCAATAGATTTTCCCATTCCTCAGAAATCTTACTGCCAAATTTCTGCATTGATTCTTTTTTAACCCTACTGATAACAGCTTTTCTTCCATTCTCTTCTATTTATGTTTAAAGTTTGACTTTCTTTGAAAAAAACATCTGTGTCATTATAAGCAATGGCTATAGTGATACACTGTGTCTTCTGAAAACAGCTTTGACTCTGGAGGACTATACACATTCATGAAAGAATTTAACCAAGATATTGAAGTAGATTTCTGTTGCCAATAAATATGTTTGCCAATTGAGAGTTCTCATCATTTTCATAAGATCCACTTACGGAATTGTTTGCTTTTGCTTCCCATTTAGTTTTTCTTAAAGCATAAAGTACATTTTTTTGAAAGCATAGATTTCTTGAAGTCATTTTGTCCTGCACTGTTTTATGGAGATAAACATGAGCATTATGAAGTACAAATGAATTTTTGTTTAGTAATGAACCATGTGACATGATTACATAGAAATGAAAATTCACACACAAAAACCAAAACCAATCTGCTAGAGCTAATAAATAAACATAATTAGCAAAGTTTCAGGGTTAAAGATCAATACAAAAATTAGTATGTTTCTATATGCCAGCAGTGAAGAAACAAGAATTAAGAAAATTTAATTTGTGCTAGCATTCAAAAGAATAAAATACCCAGGAATAAATTTAACCAAGGAGATGAAAGACTTGTATAGTGAAAACTATAAAACTATGTAGATCTAGTGCAATGCCTATCAAAATTCCAGTGGCCTTTTTAGCAGAAATGGAAAAGCTGATCCTTGAGTTCATATGGAACTGTAAGGGACCCCAAATAGCCAAAATAGTTCAGAGAGAGAAAGTCTAAGTTGGAGGAATCAGACTCCCCAGGATTGAAAATTACAACAAAGCTACGGCAATTGGGATGCCTGGGTGGCTCAGCAGTTGAGCGTCTGCCTTCTGCTCAAGGCGTGATCCTGGGATCCAGGATCGAGTCCCACATCGTGCTCCTTGCAGGGAGCCTGCTTCTCCCTCTGCCTGTGTCTCTGCCTCTCTCCTGTGCCTCTCTCCCTCTCTGTGTCTCTCCTGAATAAATAAATAAAATCTTAAACCCAAAGATACGGCAATTAAAGCAATGGTGGAAGAGGATTGAGAGTCCATAAATACACCCAAGCATCTATGGCTAATTGATTTTCTACAAGAGAGCCCAGACTAGTTAATGAGGAAAGAATAGTCTCTTCAACAAATGGTACCAGACAACTGGATCACCACAGGAAAAGGAATGAAGTTGGACCCCTACAACCCGGATGAATCTCGAGGACATTATGCTAAGTAAATGAAGCCAGGCATGAAAAACCACATTATGAAATGTCCAGAATAGGCAAATCCATGGGGTCAGAAACTAGATTGATGGTTGTCAGGGCCTGGGGAAGGCAGGGATGACGATGTGAGCGTGGGGTTTCTTTTTTGGGGTGATAATACGTTAAGATTAGATAAGAAGCACTGAATTGTACACTTTAAAAAGGTGACAGCCCTGGTGGCGCAGCGGTTTAGCGCTGCCTGCAGCCCAGGGCGTGATCCTGGAGACCCGGGATCAAGTCCCACGTCGGGCTTCCTGGGTGGTGCCTGCTTCTCCCTCTACCTGTGTCTCTGCCTCTCTCTCTCTCTCTCTCTCTAGCTGTGTCTCTATGAATAAATAAGTAAATAAAAAATCTTTAAATAAAATAAAATAAAAAATAAAAAGGTGACTTTAATGGCATATGAATTGTATCAAATAAAACTTTTTTAAAATGAGAAAGGCAGGGTTACCGATCAGCTCCAGGGACAGCTGTCCTAGAATATTGTTTTATTCAAGGACCAAACTCAACTCTATGATTTACATGTTTTTCCCTAAGAACCCATTTCACCCTATGATCCAGCAGTTGAGTATAGATGATTTGCTAACGGATGGTGATACTTATAACTGTCCCTTATTCCTCCCCTAACCAGGTGACCTACGTAACGGCAAACTAGCAGTTTCTAGTTACGGTTTTATGTAAATAAAACCTATTTATCTGAAATGTTTGGTGTAGGATCAGAGGAAATCATGGAATTTAGATCCCTTTGGCCACTGGGAGTTTTTTTCTGTCTATTCCTTTTCTTTTTTACATTGATGAAAAAAAATATTCTGAAGTCAGAATTCATAAATGTCTTTTAGTTGGTGATCTTAGTAAGTCATGTTGTTTTAAATTAACAAATCCTATATCAGAGGTCAGGGGGATAAATGACTAATGGGTTCTCCTAGCTGAAATTCAATCTTAAATTATTTCAGTTTTCTCAAGATACCACTGTTCTGAAAGCTGAGGACTGAGGTCCAGCTCTTAATTTGCTTTCTCTATTTTCCACATTTGGAATGAAGACTTTTTTTTTCTTCTGCTAGAATAAATAAGGGATACTATTTATTCGTGGGATTTTTCTCTCTAGAAACACTGATTTTTAAGTTAAATTTAGGGGCGCTTGGTGGCTCAGTCAGTTAAGCATCCAACTCTTGATTTTGGCTCAGGTCTTAATCTCAGGGTTGTGAGATTGAGCCCCACATCTGGCTCCACATTCAGTGGGGAGTCTGCTTGGGATTCTCTCTCTCCCTGCCCCTCTTCCTGCTCATACTCTCTCTTTCTCTCTGAAATAAATAAAAAATACAATCTTTTTAAAAATATAAATTTAAGAACAAGTAAATATACCTTTTACTAATATTTAGCTGACTCCCTTTTATGAAGTAGAAAGTGTATATTTTCATATGAAATTTTAACTGTAATAGTGGACAGAAGATGTGTGCGGCATGATGCGAATTTGGAGAGTCACACTTTGGCAGCTACTGCCCACCTTACCATTTCCTGGTCTAATGAGACGTCCTGTCTGCAAAGCTAAGGCCCTTCACCCCAAGTTTGTTACTGGATCCACTGGGTACCTACCATTCACAGGCACTTGGGGAGTGAATATGAGGGCTAGAGAGCATTCTGTGACATGCCTGAGGTGGTTTTAGTGAAAAGCCCAGAGCCTAGGATTACAGAATTTTTGTAGTCTTCTTTGGATTTCTCTGAGAAGTATCTGGGGCTTCAAGCTTCCATATCCTTTGGTTAGAGTGTTCCTAAGAAATCACAAACACATATCCACTTCCCATATTAGGGTCCTCTGTTCTGACTCTCTGTGCCATTTTTTGGAAAGGTTAACTGTGAACTGATTGATGTAGCAATCAGGAAGAGACTTTTCATAACTTGTTTTAATGTTTGAATTTTTTATGAAAAACAAAAGAGCAAATTTTTTAAAAGAAAAAGTTAAATTGAGATAGTTTTGACGGGAAGAAAAGATCTCTTCAAGATTAGTATTTTATTTTATTTTTTTTAATTTTTATTTTTTATTTATTTATGATAGAGAGAGAGAGAGGGAGAGGCAGAGACACAGGCAGAAGGAGAAGCAGGCTCCATGCGCCGGGAGCCCGACGTGGGACTCGATCCCGGGTCTCCAGGATCGCGCCCTGGGCCAAAGGCAGGCGCTAAACCGCTGCGCCACCCAGGGATCCCAAGATTAGGATTTTAGAGTTCAAACTCATGCCTGAGTTTAAGTCCTGGCTGTTTCCATTCTTGCTGCCTCATCTACTCTCTGTACGTTACTTACCCAGAGTCTCCTAACGGCTTCCCCTTTTTCTTACTAAGTCTGATCAGCAGTTCACTTTGGGAGCTCTCTTCATCTTGCATTTAGGAAGCATCTCAGCGCACACTTCCCATTGGTTTTCTTGTAGCATGATGATAGAATCAGCAAGTACTACAGTATGAGGGGACAAGTGACAGTGGTAGCCAGCCTGGCAAGTTCAGGGTGGATACTCCTCTACCAAGCGTGATGTACTTTGATGATTTATATACCCTTTATCCTGCATCACTGCTATTCACAACCCATTATTCATGACCAGCCTGACTTTCTTGCTCAAAAAGCGGGTCTTTCCGCAGCTGTCCTGTAGTTAGATCAGAGTTAATGCACTAGACACAAACAGTTCCACCAGAGGATAATCTTGCCGTGAACATTTTTAGGAAAATAAAGCACCAGGCATGCCTGTATCCTCTTGGCTCTGACTGACCTCTGCTTTTATATATTTTAGGCTTTAAAGGAGATAGACGAAGTTGGGGACCTATTGCAACTGAAGTATTCCCGTCATCGGTTGGTGCCTCTACTAGACAGGCCTTTTGATGAGACTACGTATGAAGAAACAGAAGACTGAGCCTTTTTGGTGCTCCCTTGGAGGAACTCACCCTCACTCAGTACAGTGTGTGGCCTTTCTGAGCCAGTTCCAGGAACCATACTTCTGTGGCCATCTCACATGAAAGACATTTCCTCAACTACTGATGGTGGCCACCTCGCTCTAAATGGCATTTTGTAAATAGTAAAAAAACAAACAAAAAAAAAAAAAACAAAAAACAAAAACTGCTTCACATTCTTCCTTTGCTACATTTCACCTTAAAAAAAAAAAAAAAAAAAGAGGTGACCCAGTCTACTTTTTTGTCCATTAAAAATGTTTTATTTTTTAACTCTTCTCCTTGTGAAATCACACTGACCCTAGCCTGGCCCTGGCTAACCACGTGGGCCATTACCTTCGCCCTGCCACCTGCAGACTTGGCCCCTCCAAAGCTCCCACTGGCCCCGGCACTGCAGCCTTGAGACTCATACAGCCCTCCTCCCCAAGGAGCAAGTGCCTTCCACTTACTTCCAATCCAGATCTCAGAGGCTACCAACCTTGGAATCCTTACTAAACCAGTCAACCAAAGTGTTCTCCCTTTCGTTTGAAGTTTAGCTGTTGAAGGAAAACAGTAAATACTAGCATTGCTAAAAACTGCCCCTCATCATGGAACTTCCCCTGGCCAGGAGCTGACCAAGGTTTGGTCTTGTTCTGGTCACCAGGTGATTTCTTCCTTCCCCATCAAATATCTATGATGATCACTGTCTGAGGGGAATGCCCAATTTCTGAGTTCTCTCCAAGCTTTAAACTAACACTTCCACCTGCCATTTAAAACACTTAAGTTGTTCATAAAGCACCCACATCCCACCTTGGTCAGACCTTCGTGGTGAAGCTGACTCACACCTCACTGCATGTCCTGTGTCCACAGCTGCTTAGCAGCTGAGCTGCAGTCCTGCAGGGGTGAGAGGGTTGGGGCAGTGTGCATAGAACTGGCAGGATGTCCATGCTTGGTTCTTACTGTTCCCTGCTTTTCAAAATTATGACAGCCTCAGCCTGGGTCTGGGTCCAGATTAGGATTTAAACTGATAAAGGAAAATGTTGGTAAATCCTCTGCTCAGAAATCATTTGCCATGTTCTATTTAAGGATTAAAGATATTAACTTACCCTTTTTAGAAGCTGACCTATTTAAATATTATTCTTCTGAGTGCTAGTTCTCTTTTACTCTTAACATCCTAAAACGATTCTAATCTGGCATCTGGGGTTTAGGGTTTCTTTTTTCTTTCTTTTTTCTCTCCCCCTGAGAAATTTTGAATACCTATGTCTTTGCCAAACTGGGATCCTCTAGTTTGACTCTTTTCATGCCAGGTAAGGGGACTTCTTTCAGAGAGCTTTATACTGCTTGACCAAAGAACAAATCTGAAAACCACCATGTTAAAGCTCTTCTTTTTTTCTGTTGACCAAAGCTTAAATGAAGAGAACTTTTGACTTTATTATACCCAAGATCAGCTTGTCTTCTAGTAGTTATCGAGTAATATGGGGGAAGGATCGGGCAAAAAATGGAACAACACTGTGTGAAAGTAGTTTTGCATGTCTCTGTTTTTGAGATCACTCCTTGTATTGGTAGAAATTATCAGTCCAAATTCTCCTGGGCTTCTTGTCATCAGCTGTGGTGTTTGTGCAGACACATGTAGTGGAGGATGGAAGCAACAGGATTGTTGGTGAAGTTTTGCTTTCATGTCTTAAGTCAGCTTTGGTCACTCTCAGCATCTGAGAGCTTTCAGCCTTTGAAATATTCCAAGGTTGTGTTTTGCTTTTTTAAAGAATAGAAAAGAGTAAATAAAAGAAGCAAGTAGAAATTCAGGGACTATTATTTAGCATACACAAGTTGAAGTAAAAAAGAGATTGTGGTAACTAAGTAGTCCTGTAGAAGAAATACATTGCTAACCTTTACATCTAGTTCCTCACCATAGAACCTCACTAGAACATCAGATAGCTTTCGCATTGCAGTTATTTGTCAAATGGTGTAGAGTTTGCAAAAGTCACAAACTTCAAGCAATGAACTTACCTGCTACTCTTTTTATTTTGACTTGCATGAAGTTGCTGCAATTTAAAATGTCAGTATGGGCATTTAAATACATACATATGTGTATATATATATATATTACTTTGCTGGTGCAAAGTTATGTCAGAATAGATGTTAAGTTACAAATTTATTTTGAAGAGACAAAACTGTGATCCACCCAGGACCTCTGCTTTCTAGAGGACAAAATGTTATACATGCTGGTTGTCTCTTCTTGGAAACTGTAAATAAATCTAGAGTCCAGTCATATCACAAGTATCATTATTTAACCAAGCACTTGGGGAAATACAGGTGTACAAAATTACAGTTATTGGCAATGAGTAGACGTAAGTGTTGTTTAGTGCATGGTTTAACACAGCCTGATTCACAAATCCGATGGGATGCAAACAGGAGTCAGCTAACGGTTACTACCAAAGGTGATAATCAGAGTCAACAGAGATGTGACTAATCCTTACCATTTTTTTCTCATCCCTCTTTCTATTTAGCATTGCCTTTATCCATTTCAGGTTTATAAGACCTTCTTCTGCAGATCACATCAGAAACCAGGACGTTTATACCCAGGAGACATCAGAATCACAAAGAATGGATCAAGAGGCATTGGCAGATTCTCCTCCCACCTTTATTTTAGAAGTTTTACCCTAGAACATGGCATACACTCTACGGCAAGTAAATATTGAAAGAGTATATTCAGGGATGGAGTCTTTGGAGCACTTTCACTTTTTGCTTTGCTCTGGAAAATTTCTTCCCTTTAAAAATCATCTTAGTTTCCAGAACCTCTCACCATACTGCTTGCTTGTTTGAGGAACTTGGCATCTTAGTCCTATGGTTACTGTCTTAAACTTTCTTGATATGGTGAGCACTTCAGATGGTCAAAACACGCTTCTTCCTGAAGCAGTCAGAAGGAATAGAAATATCCTATGACTGCTAAGGGCTGTGTGTTTGCTTAATGCCCTTTCGGAAGCCCAGGAATGGAATATTGTGCCAATGCTTTGTCTCTCATCATAATCCCCCCATCTAAGGGTATTCGGCCTTTCTTTCTGTAACTTCCAATTCTTGATTTTTAGAATTTCAACTCCAGAGAAAACCTATATGGTGGTGCTGTTTGGAGGATCACTAGATCAGATACCCTGTCATTGGACACTCAGCCTTACATTTCAGGAGTCAGGAAACTTCTTTCTTCCCTACTTGAGGGAGCCTTTATCTGAGTTTGTTATGACTAGTACAGTCTAGCTGAATTTTGTAGTATGCTTTGCTTCATTTCTGTTAGTGAAAACCAGGAGGAAAAATGGCTCACATGGAGAGATTTCCTGGCTCCTCAGGGAAGGGGAAAAAAGAGAGGCCATCTCCCACTATCTCCCTGTTTCTCCGCCTACCCTGTTCCCTTTCCTAATTGATGAGGCTCTCTGGCCCCTATTCATGCTGAATTGGGAAATAGCACAGGACTGCTAGTCGTGCCATAGGCAGTGAAGAAGAATTTGGGTAATTCTTGTAAGAATTTGTAGGGATGAGGCAAAGCTACCTACAGATGATTAAATACAACTGACTGGCTCTCGGTTCCCTTGTATAAAGAACTGCTGTGACCTAATTCCCAGGATGTTTTTCCTGGTGTTCTAGATAAGCCAAGATGGGCTTTAATCTCGCCTGACTCCAACCCGTGTGGTTAGCAAAGGGGAAAGAGCATAGTACTTTTCCTTCTGAATGTCTATCTTTGTAAAGATCAGAACTGTTAAGCCTTTCACACAGGTAAACTCAGCATAGACCAGAGGGGCCATGAAGAGGAAGTTAGGAAAATCAAATGATTCTTCTTGGCTATTGAGCTGCTACTTGCTTCAATGCAGCCTCAGAACCTAAAGAGATGCTGCTACCTGCTTAACATGGAAGCTCAGTGCCCAGCAGGCATCTTAATCTATTAAGTCAGTTAATCAAAATACCTTCCACAGGGAGAAAAGCAGATCTTACTCTCTCAGCTTTATCCACAGGAAATGTAGTGTTTAGGCTCCTACCCAATTACCATGTGCCCAGATATCCTAATTAGAAGGCTGGCTTCCTGCCTTACCATACAGAAGAAATGCTAGGACTAGCCAGTGATCCTTTTGCTTTTAATTGTATGGAAAACGTTGCCCCTTTTGTCATTTCCAGTGACTTCTGTCTTCCAAGCACCTTTTGCTATAGATTGAGTCTTTTGGGGGAGAGGGGGTGGCGGTGCAAAGGAGTTAGCTTGTGGATGGACTTACTGAGTATATTCTAGTTCTGTGAGTCTGGAGATATTCCCAGCCCACCCTTGGGAGTGGCTGGATGGGAGAGTTGTGGGCAATGTCTTGTTAACTACATAGTACACACAATGGATGGCCTTGAACTGTGACTCTTTGTGTATGATGAGTTCTAGTAAACTGACCCTAAAGAATGCAATGGTTCTTACACTGCGGTTATGCGTTTTTGATGAAGCAATACCCAAAGTTTTGTTCCTTTGGAGTTGTGGGGAAACTGAGTGAAAGGTAAAGATGAAATAGCACCCTGATGTGCTAGGTGATCTGCCTTGTTGCTATCTCCATGGATAAGTGATCCCTCCGTGCACCAGGAACCTTGAGTCCATTCAAAGTCTGCTTTTCCCAACAGTTCCTCAGGTTTCTTGTGTGAAGCTCCATCACCCCGCGTGGGCCTGCTAACAGAATATGGGACATATTCCTGACTGAGGTGGAGTCTTCACCTGATTTGTCTTCACCCTTCACATTAGGTCATGTCACCTCAGTGATGTTAAACCAATGGTTGGGTTGATAAAAAGCATCCTTGGTGGTTCTTTACAGGATCCTTGGTGAAATCACTGTGTCAGTTCAACCAGCATCAGCCAGCATGCCCACACAGTCTTGATGATCCCTCTCTGTATAATGGTAGCAAATGTTAAGAGAAGGGGGAAAGATAATAAGTATAGAGAAATTGTGTATGGGGAGCTGAGATCTTATTTTGTTGGCCTTTATTTTTACATTGACCAATTTGCCTGTAAACTGGACTTTGCAAGAGGTGCAATGATAATCCCTCTCCATTGCTGTGATGCTAATAACCTGAGAAAGTGAGAGGGGGAAATGTAAATTTAAAAATCTTAAATTTTAGTCATGTGTTAAAATGTCATCTTCTCTCTTTCTCCCTTACCCTCGCTTTCCTTCTTTGCCAGATGATTTATTTTTTTTTACCTTGTTGGATGACTGTGAATCTATAAATAATGGGATGGGCTAGGTGTATCAGTTTGTGACCACATGTTAAGAACTGAAGGGGAACTTCTCGAGATGACTTAAGAATCATCCCATGCAAATATATTGTTTTGCCCCAAATAAACTATTCAGAAAGCTAACTCTGCCTTTATTCATTCAACCAGTAAATATTGAGTGCTGTTTCCATGCCGGGCTCTGAACTGAGCATTACCAATACCAGCAAGAAACAAACAGTAAACAAATAAGCATATGGACACATATGTCATTTTACAAACTGGTGAGTGCTGTGAAGGAAAAATAAAGAACATGATAAAAACGTGTAACTAGTATGTGGTTTAGACAGAGGTGACAGAGAAAACTTTTCTAAGGCATGGAGGATCCAAAAGGAAATGTGGCTAATCCTCTGAACAAAGGGGAAGGTGAGAAAGGGGGCTGGCGAGGAGGGGGCAGAGGCTTACTTCTCTGGGCTGTCGGCGTGAGGAGTTGTCTTACACAGTGGAGAAAACCAGTGAAGGATTGCAAGTATTGGAAAAGATTGCTAGTTCGCTTTTATGGTAGACGATAGCAAATTGGTAAAAGGTATATGCAAATGCAAAGGACCTAAAATAGCCAAAACCATTTTGAAAGAGAAACTGTACTACCTGATTTCAAAGCTTTCTACCAAGACTGCATTTGGCATTAGAACAAATAGAACATAATAAGACATACAGAACAAATAAGACATCATAGTCCAGAAATAATGCTCGCTTCAGCAGCACATATACTAAAATTAGAATCATACAGAGAAGCATGGCCCCTATGCAAGGATGACACGCAAATTCATGAAGCGTTCCATATTTCTGAGAAACAATTGTTGAACCACTATATTGTACACCTGAAACTAATGTAACACTGTATGTTAACATACTAGAATAAACATAAAAATAGTCCAGAAATAGACCCACCACATGTATATGGTTAGCCGCTTTTTTTTTTTTTTTTAAGGATTTTATTTATTTATTTGAGAGAGCGTGGCAGAGGGAGAAGCAGGCTCCATGCCAGACTCGATCCCGGGACTCCAGGATCACGCCCTGGGCCAAAGGCAGGGGCTAAACCTTTGAGCCACCCAGGGATCCCTGATTTTTCTTTTTTAATTTATTTGGAAGAGAGAGCACAAGCAGGAGGAGAGGCAGGAGAAGCAGACTCCACCGAGTGGGGAGCCCCCCATGGGTCTTGATCCCAGGACCTGGAGGTGATCATGACCAGAGCCGAAGGCAGACACTCAACCATCTGAGCCACCCAGGTGTCCCTGGTTAGTTGATTTTTGACAAAGTGCCAAGTTAATTCAGCAGGGAAAGTACTGAGCTTCAAATGAGCTTCACTCTTTACCTAACATCATGTACAGTAATTAATTCAAACCATAGATCTGAACATAAAAATGATAAAACTTCCAAGAGAAAAATATAAAAGAAAATCTGTTTCTTTGGATTAGGAAACAATTTCTTAGAACACAAAAAGCATGGCTCAAGGGACGCCTGGGTGGCTCAGCGGTTGAGCACCCACCTTTGGCTCATGGCGTGATCCCAGATTCCTGGGTTTGAGTCCCACATTGGACTCCTTGCATGGAGCCTGCTTCTCCTCCCTCTGCCTGTATCTCTGCCTCTCTCTGTGTGTCTCTCATAAATAAATAAAACCTTAAAAAAAAAAAAGCATGGCTCAAAACTATTGCTAAGCTGTACTTTATCAAAATGAAAACGTTAAGACTCAATAAAAGGAAAATGCAAACTCCAGGCTAGGATAAAACATCCACAGTATATATCTAGCAAAGGCTTTCTATCCAGAGTATAGAAAGAACCCTTTAAACTCAGTAAAGCAAGACTATTCACTAAAAAAATAAGCAGAAGATTTGAATCTTCTTTAAAGATATTTTTTGGTGGGGAGTGGAGGTGCCCGGGTGGCTCAGTCAGTGAAATGTCTCCCTTCAGCTCAGGTCATGATCTTAGGGTCCTGGGATCGAGTCCCAAGTAGCACTGGGCTCCTGCTCAGCTGGGGGTCTATTTCTCCCTCTGCCCCTACGCAACCCCCCCCCATTCATGCTTGTGCTCTCTGTCAAACAAAACCTTTAAATTTTTTTAATTTTGTATTTTTAAAAGATTGTATCTATCTGAGAGGGCATACGTGTGCACATGTGCCAGGAGAAGAGCAGAGGGGGAGGGAGAGGGACAAGCAGAATGTGCTGAGCAGAGAGTCTGATGTGGAACTTCAATCCCGGGACCCTGAGACCATGACCTGAGCCTAAACTGAGTCAGATGCTCAACCAACTGAGCCACCCAGGTGCTTGCAAAGATTTAATTTTTAAGTAATCTCTACTCCCAACATGGGACTTGAATTCACAACCGTTAGATCAATAGTCGGGCACTCTGAGCCAGCCAGGTGACCCAGAAGATTTATTCATGAGAGAGACACAGAGAGAGGCAGAGACATAAGCAGAGGGAGAAGCAGGCTCCATGCAGGGAGCCGGACGTGGGACTCGATCCCCGGTCTCCAGGATCATGCCCTGGGCTGAAGGCAGGCGCTAAACCGCTGAGCCATCCAGGTGTCCTGACCCAGAAGATTTGAACAAGCTCCTCACAAAGGAAGATACACTAATGGCCAAAAAAGCACATAGAAAAATGTTCAACATCTCTGGTTGTCGGGGAATGCAAATTAAAACTACAATAAGACTCCACCACTCATCCACCCACTAGAATGGCTACATTTAAAAAGAATTACCAAAAAAATAAATGAAAAGTAAAAATAAAAATAAAAAGAATTACAATACCAAGTGTTGACAAAGATGTGGGAATGCAGAGTGCACAGCCATTTGAGAAAACAATTTGGCAGTTTTTTGGCAGCAGTTTCACTCACCTAAGAGAACTGAAAGCATGTGCACACTGGCACTTGAATATTCACAGATGCTTTATTCATAATAATCCTTAACTAGAAACAATCCAAATGCCACCACTGTGAATGGATAAGCAAGCTGTAGTATGTTGATGGAATTACTCAGCAGTGAAGAAGGAATGGCTGGTACCTACAACCATATGAATGAATCTTAACATGCTCAAATAAAGAAGCCAAACACAAAGGAATCCATAAGTAAAATTCTATTAGTATGGAAATCTAGAAAGGCAAAACTAACCTACAGTGATAGAGTGGAGAAGTGGTTGCTGGGAGCCAAGATTGGGGAGGTAGGAGTTAACTGGGTATAACAAGACTGTTAGAACATAATTCTCAAAAAATCATGACTCCATTACAGATATTTTTTTTAAAGACATTTATTTATTCAGAGAGAGCGAAAGAGAGGCAGAGACACAGGCAGAGAGAGAAGCAGGCTCCATGCAGGGAGCCTGACGTGGGACTCGATCCCGGGTCTCCAGGATCACACCCCAGGCTGCAGGCGGCGCTAAAGCACTGCACCACCAGGGCTACCCCTCCATTACAGATATAAAAATGAACATAAGTCAAAGATTTTATTTGACTCATGAATAAGGAAACTGATAAGGATACGACAACCAACCAAAGGAGATACTAAAAAACAAGAACATTTATAGATCAGGAATATTGAAACGAACATGCAAATAAAGGTAGAACTGGTTTCTTCCACACTGGGAGGTCAAATGAACCTCTAGAGGACAGGATATCACTTGCATTTCTTTTTTGTTTGTTTTTTGTTTTTAAGATTTTCTTTCTTTTTATTTTATTTATTTATTTGTGAGAGACACACAGAGAGAAGCAGAGACATAGGCAGAGGGGGAAGCAGGCTCCCTGAGAGGAACCCGATGCAGGGCTTGATCCCAGGACTCCGAGATCACGACCTGAGCCAAAGGCAGACGCTCAACCACTGAGCCAACCAGGTGCCCCCATCACTTGCATTTCTTAAAGACAATAATGATTTTCCTTCGCTATTCTTACCAGCAACCTCCAGAGTTGTAAAATAGCTCAAAGAATGAAAGACTAGAATCAGATTAACTCAGAAAGATGTATCGTGCATAGACGATGCCTTGTTTTCCTTTGAAGACCAAATGAATGAACTTGAGCTCTGACTTCGAAGGACAAAATAGGCTGGGTGTGAAAAAAGTATATATCCTAAAAAAGAACAAGGTAGCCTCACCTTTTGTCTCATAAAAGCAATACCGTGTAGCACGTGCTCAAAGGCTGGTTTCTTTCGGCTAACATTTGAGTCCTTGCCATGTACCGAGCATCTTATTAGGTTGAACCACATGAAGTTGCCAATGTTTGACTCATTTGACCAAAACATGGCAGCTTCAGCCTAATGAAAATCTTTAACGTAGATTCTTATTTATTCCTTACACCTGTGCGGTAGGTACTCCCCGACCCACACAAACCCCCACCCACTTTTATAAATGACAAAAGCACCAAGAGGTCAAAGAACTTGTCCAATTAATACCAACTTCTTAGCAAATGGTTAAAGCAAGATGCAAACCCCCGTGGCCAACTCCAGACCCAGACGATAATCCCTGCGATGCGCTATTCAAAACCCTGCAGAGTCCTGAGCTGTTGGGGACAGGAGTGGTTTCTCAGAACTGTGCCCAGTCCCCCGGAGTTTCACTTCGGCGAAGCCCGGATCCCAAGTACTGCCGCTCCCTGGCTTTCCTGGCCATCCTCCGCACCTGCCCCGTGTCACGTGCTTACATCCCCTCGCAGTCCCCATCAGGCCCCCTAGAATCATCACCGCCCCTCAGAGTTCCCGATCTTCATCACGAGCCGAGGTTTTATTTCACGACCCGGGTACCCTAGCTTGTGAGGATCCCTGCACCGGTGTCTCCCTAGAAGGGTGGGTGGTCCCACGGTCTTATCCAGGACAAAAGTGGGTGGCACGCGGTGGCGGGGCAGGCTCTTCTGGCCGCTGGCTGTCCCGGGACGTCAGCTTCACCTCTGGGGCTGCAGTGCCTCCGGGTTGGAGGAGCTCGGAGAACGTCCCGAGCAAACCGGGCGCCCGGTGGGGGGCAGGTGGCCCTCCGGGCCGCGCCTCCAGCAGGGGAGCCGAGGAGCCTGGGAGGAGTTACTTCGTGGCCCTCCTACCCCGCAGCCCCACCTCGGGGCCCTTGCACACCTTCGCTCCGTCGCCGGTCCTGGGACCCCCCCGCGGTCGGCGGCGGCGACAGAGGGCGGAGGGGCCGCCAGATGTAAGGGAGCCGCCCGCCGGCCCGGACGGTCGGGGCGCCCCGAGGAGCCGCAGCGCCCGCGGCCCGGGGACATCCGGCGCTGACTCCAGGGGAGGCCCGCGCCCCCCGCAACACTGCCCCGCGCCCCCGCGGCCGCCCGCGCCGCAGGCCCGCCCCCGCCCGCGGCCCCGCCCCGCGACAGGCCCCGCCCCCTCCCCGCGCCCCTCGCAACACGGCCCGCCCCGCCGGAGGCCCCGCCCCTCCCCGCGCCCCTCGCAACACGGCCCCGCCCCTCCCGCTCGCCCTCGCACACGGCCCCGCCCCCCCCGCTCGCCCTCGCAACACGGCCCGCCCCTCCCGCTCGCCCCTCGCAACACGGCCCCGCCCCCCCCGCTCGCCCTCGCAACCGGCCCCGCCCCGCCGGAGGCCCCGCCCCCGCCCCGCGCGCCCCGGGCCCTGGAGGAGGCGAGGCCGGGCGCGAACGGCCGCGCGGGAGCCGCTCGGGGGGCGCGGTGGGAGCGGCGCCGAGAGGGAGACGATGCCCCGACTGCCGGGCCGCGCGGGGCTGCTGCTCGGCGTGGGGCTGCTGGCGGCGCTGCTGGCCGCGGGCCGGGCGCTCCCCCTGAGGAAGCCGCGGCCCCGGGGCCCCGCGAGGCTGGCGGAGGTGAGCGGCGGGGCGGGGGCGCGAGCGGCGACCCCCGAGGGCGGGCGCGGGGCAGGGCGCGGGGCAGGGGGCGGGGCAGGGGGCCAGGCCGCCGGGCCCCGCGGAGCCGCCCGGCCCCTCCCGCCCGCGGCCGCCGCGCCCTGAGCGAACCTGTCCTGCAGCCCTCCTGTCCGGGGCCGCGCTCCCAGAGGAGCTTGGAGGGGGGACGGGGGGACGGGGGAACGCGGCGCCGCGCGGAGTTGCCGAGGTTCGACCGTCGGAATAACCCACCGGTGCGGCCTCCAATCAAACCTGCAAAGGATCTGAGCCCCTTTGGGTGTGGAATTGAGATGAGATGAGGTAGTGAGTGGGGTCTTCCGACTTGCGGGGGGTAACATCAGCCAGGAAGCTTGATACTCCCACGTACTTGGAGGAGCAGAAGAGGTCGCTAGGTCGTGGGGGAGGGGGGCTACTTCCTGGGTGGTCTGCGAGTGGGATTTGGAGATGCAACTGAAAACGGGAGCGAGTTGGAAGCGGTTGACACGTGGAGAGGGACCAGGGTCCGTCAAAACCTGCCTCCTTTCCCCAGGGGTCGGCAGTCCAGCCGTTCCTGCGGGGACTGCAGGGGACACTCCTCCCCCTGGGGACAGAACCCTCCAGACCTGCTCCAGGGTATGCAGCCTGGTGTGGCAGGGGTCCTGGCTCTTCCATGCACCGAGCTGTTCTAGGAGGCGGACAGACCCGTTCTTCATATTTTCCAGATGGGGACACGGAGAGGTCCGGCGGTGCAGGAGTCCCGAGCTAGGGGGGCTAGTCTGCGCACACTGCTGAGGCCCTCCAGAGGCGGTGGGAAGCAACGGCCTGCACGTGGGGTCTCTGTGGACTGGTGTTTATCCACCTTTTTTCTTTTCCTTTTTTTTTTTTATCCACCTTTTTTTCAATGCTGCCCTGCTAAGGAGACTTTTGGGTATTTTTCCCCCTAAGTGCCTTTCCCACTGAAATTTTAATACCATAGAGATTCTATGTTCTATGGTACTTTGATGTGTTACAAACCATTGTAATATCCAAGATTTTTTTTGCCCCTTGTTGAGAGTATATCCTATAGAGCAGAGTCTCTCAACCTCCACCCTCCTGTCATTTGGGGTTGTAAAATTCTTTGTTGTGCATCGTAGGGTATTTAGCAGCATCCCTGGCCTTGACCCACTGGATGCCTGTAGCACCCACTTCTGGACAGACCCAGACATTGCCCAGTGTTTCCTGAGCGACCCCCCCCCCGCCCCCATTTTTGGCAACCAGTGTTGTAGACAAATCCAGGGGAACTGAACAGCCAGTCCCACCTCCTAGCTGGAGATGACAGCGGTCATAAAATTAATTGAGTTGGCATTTTTTCCTACTCATTTGATGTATTTTCTATCTTCATACTTACTGCTTTGTATTGTGATTATTTTTTATTTTTTATTTGCCAATTTTTCCCCCAAGACCAGCCTCGAGGATCAGTTATTTCAGAGCCAAAGGCATATCCTCAGCCCTAATTTAGGGCCTAGTGGAACCCTCAAAAACATGTTAAAGCAAATCAGTGCCATGAAGGAAAAACAGTGTGGAGCCCAGGGCCTGGGGTTCTATTCCCAGTGGGTCATTAACTCATGTATGATTCTCCTTGGATGATTTCCTGACTTTTTTTTAAAGATTTTATTTATTTATTCAGTAGAGATACAGAGAGGCAGAGACACAGGCAGAGGGAGAAGTGGGCTCCATAACGGGAGCCCAATGCGGGACTCGATCCCAGGACCCTGGGATCATGCCCTGAGCTGAAGACAAAAGCTCAACCACTGAGCCACCCACGTGTCCCTGATTTCCTGACATTTAAAATAAGGGGCTAAGTCATCTCCATGATCCCATCCAGCTCAAACGTCGCTTCAGATGTGTATTAAAGCTCTTCCACATCAAGGTGTTAGTTAAGAAATCACGTTGAGATAAGACAGACTGCTACTCTGGGGCCTGAGGTAATATGTCAGAAATAACTGACAATCCAAAGACTTTTAAGAAGCTGAAGAACATAAACTGGCCTCAATCTAAAAGTACAGGATGACTGCAGGGACATGAGCCTTCCCTGGGCCTTGCAGGGTCAGTGCAAAGTACTTTATGTGATGCTATTTCATTGTCACATCACTCTGATCTGGGTGTTATTCCCATTTTCCAGAGGGGAAAATCAAGTCACAGAGCCAGTAAGCCTGAGATTAGGAGCCAGGTTTGTCGTTTCAAGAACTATACCATGGGTCTTATGGTGCATCTTCCCAGCCTGGTCATCCAAAGTCTTGAAAAGTCTTAAAATCATCAGCATCATGAACGAAATGTGCCACCCTCTCACCCTGTTGCTGAGCCTCAGTTTACCCCCACAATCGAATGAGAGAACTGCCTGCTGGGTGAGAAAGCACCATACACATGTGTGGCATCGTCGTTACAAGGGGTTGGTGGGTGCTAGTCGAGCAAAGAATGACAGAGCTCTGCCTTGGGTGTCTTCTGCTCTAGTTCGGGTGAGAACACCACCCAAACGGCCACAGCACCTGGCATGTTGTGTCCTTTGTCTTGTTCTCCTCATTTTAGGGATGACAAAACTGACAGTGGGTCTAATAACTAGCCCGCACTTCTGCAGCTAGTAAGTGGTGAGCCAGGATTGAAACCCAGCTTGGCTTTATTCCAGGGCCTCTGGACACCTCGCCCTGGCACCCACCACCTCCTGAGCAGGCAAGGGAAGACTTATGGGCTCAGGTGGGGAAGCACAGGGTTGGGGACTTGAGACCACAAGAGGATGATGGAGAGGGGAATTAGGGAAGAGAGAAGTGAGAAAGGACAGCTCCTCCGGGCTGCACGGACTGTCCCGCATGAAGGGTCCCACATGGGGCAAAGCTGCAGGAGATCCTGCTGTAGCCACAGGGGTTTGGTCGCCAGGGGCAGATGGACAGACGCATGTATGAGGGTAGGGGCCGAGAGTTGAAGAGCTCAGGCACAGGGGAGGGAGCCTGCCGGCCTGGGGCAGCATCACACAAATATATGGGTCAGGGTGCTGAGTCAGCACCTTCGGTCCTGGTCATCGTGCAGCCACTTGCCTGGCATCAAGGGTTGGGTCACAGGAAGGGTGGGTTGAAAGGTCCCACTGCCAGGCCCTGGCACCAAGAAGCAGGTATTTTCCTGCAGGTTGGTCTTCTTTGGTTGGGGTGTGCCCACTTTCTAGCCCAGTGAGTGAGTGTCACCAGGGGGACTGGCACCCAGGTGTGCGTGATGTCAAGCTTGTGGCTTCGCCCGGAACTGGCTACCTCCTTGACCCTGATCATGACCGTCACCCTCCCTGCAGACCGTTCTTTCTGCTTAGAATTTGGAACTACTGGAAAGCTGGTTGAGGGAGAAAGGGAAGAATAGGAATGGGGGCCAGGAGGCTGGGCTGCTGGGGAGTCCCGGGCAAGTCCGCTCCTCACTGGCCCTCGGTTCCCTAAGCTTGTCCTCCCCTTTGCCTCTCACTTGGTGGTTATGAAGATCAGAGGGAAAGGTGGATGTGAAAAGTAGAACATCCTGCTCTCCTGTTTTGGGCATTGGGCACATTCTGCACCTGAGTGGCAGTCGGCAAACCGGAAGGTTCAGCCCTTGCCTGGAGTTGATCAAGCCCAAGGCATAAGCACACAGACCCTCCAGCCAGACCATCGGCCTCGAGTCCTGTACTGCCAGCCCCCTGTGTGGCCCCAGCCAAGTTCCCTTACCTCCCTGAGCCTTGGCTGCCCCATCTATTAAGTGAGGATGATGCTAGCACCTGCCCAAAGGGTTGTGAGACGTCAGTGAGTCAGTACACAGAGCCTGCATGGCAGCGCTGACTAGAGTTGGAGGGGCCCAGGGCAGAATGAGAACTTGGGGCCTCTAAGCGTTTCAAGATGGCAGCAGCAGAGCGTTAAATCAGCTGCAGAGGGCAGCCCCCGTGGTGCAGCTCTTTAGCGCCGCCTGCAGCCTGGGGTATGGTCCTGGAGACCTGGGATCGAGTCCCGTGTCAGGTTCCCTGCATGGAGCCTGCTTGTGCCTCTCTCTGCCAGTCTCTGCCTCTCTCTCTCTCTCTGTGTGTGTGTGTCTCTATGAATAAATAAATAAAATCTTTTAAAAAAATAAAAAATAAAATAAATCAGCTGCAGAGCCTGTGCCAGTCCCCAGGGCACATGGCGTGAAGCCAGGCCTGATGCTTGCAGGGTGCGCTCTCGGTCGTACTCTTATTAGAGTGAGGAGCTCTGAGGTCTCCGCTGGGTGCAAGGTGGGCTGGATTAGTGCGTGCCAGTGGGGGTGGGGGGCGCGAAGTCCAGCCCCTCCTCTGCCTCTGGTCCTCTGGCCTACCTAAAGGGGCAGCTGCTGTTGAGTGCTTAGGTCTCCAGCCCCCCCGGGAGGCTGGGGTGACCGTGTGTGCGGCCTGGGTCTGTACCGGTGGGCCTCAGGAGCTGGGGCTGCAGGGACGGAGGTGCTGGGCTGCACCTGGCCACTGGGTTTCATCGTCCAGAGCAGTTCCTGACCCCTGAGGCGGAGGGAAGGGAGGTCAGGGGAATGGTGCGGGTGCTGAAGCAGGCGAGCGGGCAGGTCCATGCAGCACGGGGAGGCCTGTACGCACGGGGGCTTTCTGTTAACTAGAAACACATGGGGCAGGGCTGCCGGGCCAAGCCTGGAGGGGATACACATGGGCCTGTGTGTGTGTGTGTGTGTGTGTGTGTGAGAGAGAGAGAGAGAGAGAGAGAGAGAACCGTGGGAACAGATCTTGGCATATATCTATACATCTCCTGTCTATCTGGGCATTGACACCTTTCCCCAAAAGAAAAGACTTGGGTATTTGTACAAGCGGGAAGCTCCACATGCCAGCGTAGCAGATGGGGGAGGTGGTCCTGTGGGATAGGACAGGTGTCCTTGAGTGTGCCGGAGCCTCAGAATTCAGGCCACGGGAATACACACCCCCTCCGAGTTCCTGCGTCAGTGGCGGTGCTGGGGACTTCAGACCAATTAAGATGTGAAGAACTAATGGTGCCTGGTGAGAGGGGCTAGTCTCCTGTCTCCCTAAAACCATCTGTCACCACTCTAGGTAAGGCTCACCTCACACTTGCCATGTTTGAGGCAACCGTCGTTCTACCTCAGCAACCATACAAGGCAGAGACTGCCCTGTCCTTAATTTATGGAGGGAGGATGTAGGGCAAGCACAGGTTGGGTTAACCTGCCCGAGGTCACAGCTTGTAAATGTACAAATTGGGATTTGAACCCAGGCCGTGTGGCCTCCAACCTATACTCATTACCACTACATTCAGCCGCCAGCAAGATGACAAAAGTGGAAGTGCTTTGTGAGTACAGAGGTGGTGCACACAAAGGGTTGTCGCCGTGCATGCACCCGTGCATGGGTGTTGACATCAGGCTGAGCTGAGTTCGAACCCAAGCTCCGATACTGTGGCTATGGTGACCTCACACAAATCCCTTCCCCTGTCTGAGCCTCCATAGCCTCATCATTAACCTAGAGACAGTCACATTCAGCTCTCGGGGTTGCTCGCCTTCATCCAGTCACTCAGCAATGATTTACTGAGCTCTTCCTGTGTACCAGGCACTGTGCTAGGCACAGGATACAGCAGGAATAGAGCAAAGAGTCCTACCTGTGCTCTAGCTGGGGTGATAGGAGGTGCATAAATGGCCTAGCCCAGGGCTGGTAGGGAAGATGTGCTCAGACAATACAAGTCAGAGCTCTGGGGACTCTGCCCATATCCCTACAGGCCTTACTTCCGATTGCCAGTGTCCAGCTGCCAGAGGGCCTGTTCTGAGCTGTACATGGCAAGCCTGAGGTGCCTGGGGAACACATCCTCTCCTCCACCGGGCAGCCCTCAACCAATGACTGGTGGGATCTGTAGGTATGTGGCCCAGGTCCTCGCTTCTGGGGGAGTGACTGAAGCACCTAAGTGGGAGCTGAGCTCCACTTGTCCACCACGGTCACTATCTTGATGGAGCGTTCTTTATTAGCTGCCTCCTGTCCCTGACTCATGCCCCTGGCCCCTGCTCTCTGCTGGTGTCTCTTGGAATCACCTTCCAAAGGAACAGGTTGCCCTTGAATTCTTTGTCAGGGTTGGCTTCTGAAGAAACCCAAACTAAGACTGATGTCCCCCCTCTACTCCACTCCTGGGTTTCCCTCGGGCCTGAAACACAGGCAGGAGGCTCCAAGAGTGGCTCCAGAGGAGGGTGGAGTGTGTGGCTGTGATGTTTAGCCATGGCTTCCTATGGCCTTTGCTCTTCATCTGGTCCACCTGGGCACCAAGGAGTGGCGAGGTTAAAGAGGGCTGGAAACAAACATTCTGAGCACCTGCTGGGTACCAGGTCTTTCCCATCACTGTTCCTGTTTTACAGATAAGGATGCTTACAGAGGTTATGTCCCCTGTCAGGGTCCCACAGGTCAGAAGCAGGCTATTCAGGGATTTAGACCTAAGCAGCCTGACTTCAGGGCAGGGTTTCTTTCTTTTTTAAAGTTTATTTATCCACATATGTATGTATTTAAGTAATCTCTATACCCAGGGTGGAACTCAAATTCATGATGCTGAGATCAAGTATCACATGCCCTTCTGACTGACCCAGCCAGGCCCCCCAGGAGCAGAACTTCTTAACCACAGCATTGGTGACATTCTGAGCTGGGTAATTTTTGTGGGGGCTGTCCTGTGTGTCGTGGGATCTCTGGCCTCACCCACCAGGGCCAGTAGCATTCCTCTCTGATTGTGACAACCTCAAATGTCTCCAGACATTGCCAGATGTCCTCAGATGAGAACCACTCCCCTATTTGCTCACAAGGCAGCAACATCCACATCAGCCAGGAAGGCTGCAGACTCTGAAGTCCTGATGTCCTGAGACTGCCTGTCTTCATACCCCAGAGGCGACAGAAGAGCCGCTGAACCAGGCATGGGGACAGTTAGGGCTTTGGTGGCATTATGGGTAGGAGCTGCCAGGAAGGAAGGATATGCGGATGTGCCAGGCCTCCCCGACTGGTCAGCGAAGGGGCCGAGTCATTCTATTACTCATCTGTCCATCCTCTGCTCATCCAGCCTGTCTGTTTAGACCAGAGCACACAGACTCAGCAGCAGACACCAGGGCCAGGGTCGGAAGGGCCCACAGTGATTAATGCAGAAGCCTTGGAGCCAGGTGTCTGCGGAAGACTGAAGGGAGGGGGCTAAAAGGGAGAAGGTTCTGATTCTCTTTTCCAACCCAAGGAAAGAAAGTCATAGTGAGAAACTAGGCTGAGTAAGCCTCTGAAATGTGAAGTAGACTCTGCACACTCCTGCCTGTAGTGTCAGAGGGTAACGGTTAGGAGTGTGGGCTCTGAGGCGCCTGGCTGGCTCAGCTGGTAGAGCTTGTGATTCTCGATCTCAGGGTTGTGGCTTTGCACCCCACGTTGGGTGTAGAGATCACTTAAAAGTAAACCCTTAAAAAAAAAAAAAAAGAATGTGGGCTGTAGGCCCAGACTCTCTGGTTCAAATCCTGGCTCTACCACTAAAATGTCTGTGTGACCTTGGGCAAGTTACTTGCCTTCTCTGTGTTTTAGTTTCAATTGTCCATGTGGAGATGACAGCTAGCACCTACCTCTGAGGGTTGTTGGGAGGATGAAATGAGTGATTAAGTGTTTAGAATAATGCCCAGCGGGCAGCCCGGGTGGCTCAGCAGTTTAGTGCCGCCTTCAGCCCAGGCCATGATCCTGGAGACCTGGGATCGAGTCCCACATCAGGCTTCCTGCATAGAGCCTGCTTCTCCCTCTGCCTGTCTCTCTCTCTCTCTCTCTCTCTCTCTCTCTTTCTTTCTAATAAATAAATAAAATCTTAAAAAAATAATAATGCCTGGCACACAGATGCTGTGGAAATGGTTGAAATTATGACAGTCCTTCCAGGTAAGAATTATCCTCATTTTGTACATCAAGTTGAATGAGCTAGTAAGAGGCAGAGCTGGGACTTGAGCCCAAGCTGATCTGACTGTCCAGACCTGTGTTTTTTCACACCGCTTCAGATATGAGGTGGGAGATGGGGTCAAGGCTGTGGACCGAGCAGAGCGGAATCCAGAGGCTCCCAGCCCCTGAGACTCAGAAAGGCAGCTCTGGACAGTGCTCTTCCCGTCCTGTGGTAGAGACCTGAGCAATGGCTGCAGCCCACAAGTAGGTGGATGGACTCCCCAGTGTCCCACTGTCTGAGCAGAGTCGGAGACAACCAGAGTCTTTTACTATCTGAGCAGAAGCAGGGACGGTCCCAGTGTGGACCCTACGGCGCTGGCCGGTGTGGGGAATTAAGTGGCAGATAGGCAGCTGGACCAGCACCTGGAGTGGGCAAAGGTGCCAGGCCCCAGGTGGGCGGGTGGAGGAGGGTAGCAGTGGGTGGAGATGCTAAGGAATACAGCCCCCCCACGTGGACAGCTTGGGAGGGCCAGTGGCCTGCTGGGGGAAGGCCCAGGTCTGCCCCTCACTTCCCTGCCGGCCTTTCTGGGGCTTCCTACTGACAGGAGGCCCCCCTGTCTGTTCCGGGGGAGGGGCCCTGGGGGACTCTGAGGCATGTGGTCTATTAACTGCCCAGTCACCCCTCCCTCCCACCTCTCTCCTTCAGGTACCAGCCTCCCCAGATTGCAGCTCTCCTAGGGAAGAAGAGGGGATCCCACCGCTCCCCAGAACCCGCTTCCAGGCAGGGCCACGCCGGCACAGGCGCCGGGCTCTCAGTGAGCCAGCAGCCCTGAGCCCAGACAAGGCGACCCCTCCCAGGACCCTGGAGGATGCTCCCTTGCTGCTTGAGCTGCAGAAGCTGCCAGGATTGGCCAACACAGACTTGAGTGCCCCAAACCCCAACATCCAGGTGAGAGCTACAGGAGGACCGTGGACATCCAGAGAGGAGCTAGGCTGAAGGGCTCCACCCTGAGGTCAGGTGTCCCCATCCTTCCTTGGAGGGCAGGGGTCCTGTTTGGGTCACAGAAGATGGAGTTGTGGGAGTACCCCTCCTCCACTTCCCAGCTTCAGACTGAGCAGGGCGCAGGGCCCCTGAGCCTGGGTTTTCTAGTCCATGGCAAGGGACAAACAGCCCTGGCAGGGCCGTCATGGGGACCAAACGAATAGAGAAGCTTCGTGAGCAGCAGAGGCTTCCGGGAATATGGGGTGGGGAGGGACCTGTCGCCTTCCCCCAGGCCCAACCCTTACTGCAGGGTTGGTTGAGTGCACAATAGGATGGGCTGGTAGTGGGGGGCTGCCCCCGAGGGGCTCTATGGGGCCAGTGGGATTCTAGTTTATGTTTTCCACACCAGGCCTCAATCCCGGATGGTAGCAGCATCTACAGTTTGCCAAACACTTTCATGAAAAGAGAAAAGGCCCCAAAAATGTAAAATCTAATATTCTAAAATTGTTTAAAAGTGTGTGTGTGGGGATCCCTGGGTGGCTCAGCGGTTTAGCCCTTACCTTTGGCCCAGGGCGCGATCCTGGAGTCCTGGGATCGAGTTCCACGTCGGGCTCCCAGCATGGAGCCTGCTTCTCCCTCCTCCTGTGTCTCTGCCTCTCTCCCTCTCTCTCTCTCTATCATGAATAAATAAATAAATCTTAAAAAAAAAAAGTGTGTGTGTGTGTGTGTGTGTGTGTAAAACCTGGAAGTTTAATCATCAAAATGTTATGTGTCAGAGATGGAGTGTGGGTGATTTTAATTTTTTTCATTATATTTTGCTGATTTTCCCCCCAATTTTGTTCAGTAACCTCATACTATTTTATTTTATTTTATTTTATAAAGATTTACTTATTCATGACAGAGAGAGAGAGAGAGAGAGAAAGAGGCAGAGACACAGGCAGAGGGAGAAGCAGGCTCCATGCAAGGAGCCCAATGTGGGACTTGATCCTGGGACCCCAGGATCACGCCCTGAGCTGAAGGCAGACCCCCAACCGCTGAGCCACCCAGGTGTCCCTGTAACCTCATATTATTTTATAATAGCCCAAGATAATGTCTGCAAAGTTCACTTTCACATAAATGATTTTATGGTCCTTATTTTCCGGCCACAGTATGGCAAGTGGGGGGACCCTCCCTACCCTCCCTTACACGCCCCCTACCACCACCTCCCCTGACCAGGGGCCACTATGGAAGCTTGCTATCTTCGCATTAGTTTCCAGTCCTACAGTGAGCCCCAGGGCTGTTAATGGCTCCTGAGGGTGGGCAGCCTGCAGGCTGCTGGAGTCACAGTTCACAGCCAGCTTCTCTTAAACTAGTGGGTCTCTAGCCTGGCACGTGTTAAAGCCACCATGCCTGGCCCCAGTTAGTTAAAAACATGTTTATAGTTGGGTCAAGGAGTCTGAAATATCGAGGTGATTTGATTCTGATGCAGCCAAGTCTTAAATTGTGACCTCATGGGCCCTGGGAAGCCAGGAAGTTTGGTGAAGAGAATGAGGTGGTTTGGAGGGAAGGTGGGGCCTCTACCCCTGACCCCCCTTGCTTGTCACCTCACCTCCCCTTGGAGTCTTGCTCTGAGCCCTCCTTCACTGGCCGGCCTATGTCTGACCCTCTGCAGGTGACCATCGAGGTGGTGGAGGATCCGCAGGCCGAGGTGGAGATGGACCTACCCAGCAATCGCTGGCCACAGGATGCCTCAAGCTGGCTACCCACCAAGGAGCTCTTCTGGCCCCTATTCTGGGGGTACCTAGAGGGCGAGGAGGGAAGGACTGATCTCAAGGGCAGAGCCCCAGGGGAAGAAGAGGAGGAGGAAGAGGAGGTGGAGGAGGATTACCCTGTAGAGTACAGCGAGAGTGAGGACCAGGAGGACAGCGATGACGAGGAGGAGCTTGGGTTCAGTGGGGCCACAGGCAGCTGGGAGCAGGGCTGGCTGGCCCCTGGGGACTGGGCCTTCAAGGAGCCGGATGGCTATGGTGAGCACCCCTCCCCCATCTTGGCATCCCGGGCAGCTGCATCTGGAGGTCCTGAGTGGAAATGGGGCTTGAGAGAGTCCTGAGAGCTTCCTGAGCAGGGACAGCTGTGGAAACCCGGGGTTTAGGCTTATAGAAACACCATCACCCCCTAAGTAGCAACATCACCCATAGCTTGCAAAATTTGGAGGTTTTTTTTCCCCCAAACATTTGACCTTCGCAACGGCCCTGAGACACCCTAAACAAAATGGACATTTGTTAATTTTATATATATTCCTAGCTATCAGTTGCCAACAAATCAGGAAATATTATAAACCCCACCAGTCACAACTGACCTTGTTTTTTTTTTTTTAAAGATTGTATTTATTTATTCATGAGAGACACAGAGAGAGAGAGGCAGAGACACAGGCAGAGGGAGAAGCAGGCTCCATGCAGGGAGCCCGACGTGGGACTCGATCCCAGGTCTCCAGGATCAGGCTGAAGGCGGCGCTAAACCGCTGAGCCACCGGGGCTGCCCTACAACTGACCTTGTTTTCAGACTGTGTCGGTTTGAATCTTGGCTCTGCCGCTTCCAGCTGAGTGGCCTTGGACAAGTTACTTAACCTCTCTGTGCCTCATTTCCTGCCTCTCTAAAATGGAGACTGGGGGTAGAGGGTATTAAGTGAGTTAATACACGTAAAGTGCCAGCATATAGTAAACTAAATATTGGTTGTTTTTATTGGAAAACAACAGAACAGCACAAACAGTCTAGAAAATGCTCCCTCATGCCTGGCCAGCCCCCAGTTCTTTTTTTTTTTTTAAAGATTTTATTTATTTATTCATGAGAGACACAGAGAGGCAGAGACACAGGCAGAGGGAGAAGCAGGCTCCCCATGGGGAGCCTGATGTAGGACTTGATCCTGGGATCCCAGGATCATGCCTTGAGCTCAACCGCTGAACCACCCAGGTGACCCCCCAGTTCTTTTTTTTTTTATGCTGCACTTCAGGTTTCCCTGGGCATGGACCTGTTTCATGTGCAGTTGCAGCCATTCTCCCCAGAGCCCCTGGTGTTTCGTCCTTGGACGGTGGTGCCATGATTAAGACTAAGGCACAGCAGACTTTCCCCCATTCACCAAATAATGTAAACTAGCAGAATTTTCATGCCTTTTCAACTTTTCTCCTATTAATTTTCTTTAAACTCTTGGTACCTGCCTGCTCAGACCTGCCTGGGAAGTGAGAAGAGAGTTGGCTATGTCAGTGTTTTGGGGGTTCCACAGACACCCCCTATCCCCCAGGTCTCAACCCTGTGCAGCCAGAGGGCTGTACGTGCAGTCATGGTGTATATCAGGCTCCTCAGACCAGGACAGGGCCTCTAATGTGGGAAGTCAGGAACTTCCTTTATATCCCAGTGCCAGGGCAGTCTTGTTGGCCATGGTTTTGACTGACATGATTCGCACGGGGGTCCACTCTACAGGGGCCCCCAGCTGAGGGACAGGTAGGGGCTGAGATCCAGCCCACGCTTTGTCCACTAGGCTGGGAGCCCTGGCATGGGCGGCGTCCTCCTGAGGACGGGGCGCCTTCTGCTAATTGGCACCGGTGCCCAGTCACCCTTGGCTCCCTGCCTTGACCCAGATGATGAGCTTCCAGAGGAGTGGAACCCCTGGTTTCCCTGCAGTGGGAGCTGCAGCAGCGGCAGCCAGAGGAGGACTCGTCCCTGCGGCTAGGCCTGCAGTGCCGCTGAGTCCCCAGTCTGCGACCTGCCCCCTTGTCCTGGTGAGAGGAGCCGCGCCCTGGAGCCTGCAGAGGCAGCAGCTTACACTGCTGCGGGCCTTGTTTGAGGGGTGCTGAGGGAGGAGATGCAGGAAACTCACAAATGTGGTGGTCCTGCCTCGGCCCAGGCCCATCCCGGATGCTGTGGCCACCAAAAGAGCCTGGTGAGGGCTGGGCTTCCCCGCTGGGAGCACAGAGGTGCCCCGGGGCCCCGCCAGTCTGGCCTCCTCTCTTCCCAAAGGCACCGAGGAGAAGGACCCCTTGGGCTTCCCCAGTGAGGGGTAGCAGCCCCTGGCCCACAATGCTACGGACATGCTCGGCCCAGGTCAGTGAGGAGCTATGCCCTGCTCCTGGGGTTGGGGGAGAACCTCATGGGGAGGGCGGAGTATCATGCACAGACAATCTCACCTCCATCCACAGAGACAAAGTACATGTTCCAGCTGGAAGATTAGCCTCCCCAGAAAAGGGGCCCTAGGATTTCTAGGTCCCCCTAACCAGGCCACTGACCTTTCTCAGCCTGATATTCCTGCTGGGAAGAGGGTCCTGATGGGAGCCACAGAACCTGGAGATCACGCTGTGGGGCCCCTTCTGCCTGGCTGCAGGATGGGAGGGGGATATCCCGGCTTCCACAACTGATCACTCAGGGGTACCCGGGCAGGCTCTGTGTGGGAAGGGGTCCTGGCAGAAACAGGTCAGGGGCCAGGAGTTTAGAACTGCTCCTTCCAGCAGCTTGGGAGCAGGCTGGGCTTTGACTAGGATATTCAGCCTCTGCATCTCTTGAGGTCACTTGCACCCCACAAGGAGGTAGGCAGCTGCCTGTGCTCAATACCGAGAAGCATCCTGAGCTGGGGTGGCGCGCCTGGTGCTGTGCAGGGCAGGGGATTCCTGGAAGGCTGAGGCTGGGGATTTGCCCTCGAGGAGCTCGGGTCCTAGGAGGAGAGGCACACATGACCAACTTCAGCACTGCGCCGTGCAGAGCGTGCCCAGAAGTTCTGGGGCAGAGACGAAGGAGCAATTTGTTCTGTGTGGCCAGAGTCAGAGGCCACATGTCCAAGAGAGAGAAGGGAGGAGGACAGCACAGACAGAGGGGGCCACAGTGGGACACAGAGTGAGCCTGAGAAGGAGGTAAGAACAAGAGTGGATCGATGGTGAAGACAGTGCAACGCTTTCTTACCACTGGCTTAAGACAGCTGTCTATGCCGCCCCCATCACCCCAGCTCCTTCCCCAAGATCCCAGATCTTTCCCACCATCCAGGGGGTGAAGGGAGACGCCCTGGCCGCACTCAGCGCCCAGGCCCCTGGGCCAGCATCCATTGAGTGGCTGCCTCTTGCTTCCTGGGTGGCGGGCGGGAGCCCCTCTCTGTCGTTCGGGGGAGGCCTGGCCGGCCGCACCCAGCTCAGCGGTGGGGCCTACTCTGTCCAGGCATCCAGGCCTCGGCCCTCGATCAGCTGCCCCCTCCACCAGGGGGCTGACCCGTCCCCCCCACCCCCCCTGCAGATGTGGACAGCTGCGAGAAGTGGCTGAACTGCAAGAGCGACTTCCTGGCCGAGTACCTGCGCCGGGTGCTGCAGGACCTGCCCAGCTGCCCGTGCGCGTACCCGCTGGAGGCCGAGGCCCGCGCCGTGAGCCTGCAGGACGAGCGCCGGGGCCGCAGCTTCCGCTGGAGGGACGCCAGCGGCCCGCGGGAGCGCCTGGACGTGTACCAGCCCACGGCGCGCTTCTGCCTGCGCTCGCTGCGGTCGGTGGAGAGCAGCACCCTGGCCGCCCAGCACTGCTGCTACGACGCGGGCAGCCGGCTGCTGACGCGGGGCAAGGGCGCAGGCGCCCCCGACCTGGTCAGCACCGACTTCTCGCCGGAGCTGCACTTCAAGGTGGACACGCTGCCCTGGATCCTCTGCAAGGGGGACTGGAGCCGCGTCCACGCCGCGCGGCCCCCCAACAACGGCCGGGCCTGCGCCGACAACCCTCCCGAGGAGGAGTACCTGGCGCAGCTGCAGGAGGCCAAGGAGTACTAGCAGGGGCCCGCGGCGCGGCCCTCACCCTGCCTCTGCCCCTGCCTCTGCCTGTGAACCCAGGGCAGGTCAGCAGCCCGGTGTCCGTGCGGGGTTGGGGACGTGGTGGAGGGTACAGGGCCTGGGGTGCGGGAGGGAGCTCAGCCCCCTGAGGTCACTGGGTGGACGGGGAAATGTGTGTCTGCGGGGGCTGCCCTCTCCTGACCCCTGGGAGCGCTGTCCCAGCCTCGCCCCTCATTTCCTCCCTCTGCCCCTGAGCTGGGCTCTTCTGCCATCAGTGGCTCTGGGCACAGGTGAGAGCCGGGCTCTCCACGCACACCCTGACCTGTGCTGGGAGGTGGACAGCCAGCCTAGTGAGCAGCCTAGCCTCCTCTCTGGGTGGTTGTTAGAGGTCCTTGTCCCCCACCTGCTGGGAGTCATCACACACCAAGACCAGGTCCCTGTTAGAGGTTATCCTCTGCTCCAAGCTGCCTTTTGGTGGACACCACTTTGGTGTAGGGTGGAAGTCAACCAGTGGGGCCGAATGAGGACAGTCAGGCTGAGGCGACCTAGACAAGGGCTGGCTCCAGGCAGGGAATGGGTCAACCCATTCGAGTCCCTTTCTTTGTCCAGCACCTCTGTTCTTTCTGGGTTGTAGGAGTGTGAGGGCCTGGGAGATGGTGCTGCCGGAATGGGCACAGCCAGCAGGCTTGGGGTGCACTCACAACCGACTTGGGAGAGTGTGCACCATGGGGAACTGGTAAAACAGTTCTCTGGTCAGGCGTGGTGGCAGGGATGCCCAGATTCGGGTCATTTCTGTGGTGTCAATACTCCCACCATGGCCCACTTCATGCTCCCAAGTGGATGTGATTGCATGCCCCGAGCTCAGAGCTGCACATAAGCAGCTCTCCTAGCACACCTTGTGCTTCTTCCCTGCCCCTCTCACCACCCCCCTCAAACCATACTTTCTTGCCTTCTGTGGGGTTGAAATGCTGAAGTCCCAACTGTCCTGTTCACAAAAGATCCAAAAGGTGGGGACCTCAGCTCCTAGATAGCTGCCCTGAAGCTCTTTGTGATCCTCAGCAATAAAGCACTTTATTTTCAAATTCTGTTTGATGAAGAATGTGGAGCCTCAGTAGAGGTATAGGGAGCCCTGTTTGCAGCCCAAGCCAAGCCCCCCAGCGTTGTGACTCCCTAACCCAGCTGGGCGGGCAGAGCTCCCAAAGTGCAGAGGTTAGATGTAGATGTGAGTTATCCCTACTCACACTTCTATAGAGTTGCCTGGGAGGCAGGGAGGAGCTGGCTGGACCTCAGGGGCACCTTCACTAGTTCTTGGGGACAGGAGGACTTCCAAGTCAGAGGTAAGTTGCATGCACTCCAGTGGATGTGGTTTGCTGCCAGGGGATCTGACATAGGGTTGCCAAAGGATTACACCGAGAAGATGACGGAAGTGGACCTGTACCCTGCCTTGGTTGCTCCCCTTAACAGACCCTGCACTGTCACTCCTGGCATTTGGGGAAGAACAAAGACACATCAGAAAGTAGGATGAGACAAGGTGTGTCCAGAGCCATCGCCTAGAGATGCTCAGAGAGCCAGATGTTTCCATAACCATCACACCTGGAGGTAAGTTTATTAGTCTGGTCCTGGACCACAGTCTAAAAATACTGTGGCACAACTAAAATATTACAGGGCCAGAGACACTGGATCAAGTCACCAGATGGGATCCAAATTCAGTCCCTTTCTCTCATCTGGGGAAATCAAGGTATTTTAATTATCCTTTAGCGGAAATTTTTTAAAAATTTATTTGAGAGAAAGAATGAGTGGGAGGAGGAGCAGAGGGAGAAGGAGAGAAGGAATCCCAAGCAGACTCTATGCTGAGTGCAGAGCCTGAGAGGGGGCTCCGTTCCAGGACCCTGAGATCATGACCAGAGCTGAAATCAAGAATTGGCCACCCAACCGACTGAGCCACCCAAGTGCCCCAGCAGAAACTTTTTATTAAATGGGAAGATAAAGACATCCTAGAGTCCGTTTTCATAGGCATCTGCTCATTCCCTCCTTTCTAATATAACTTACCTTGACACTTAAACACATTGTCTAAATTAAATCTGTACCTAGTGTCTGTCGATTACCCAAATTGAGTTTGGCCGGCCACATTTTTGATCTGTAAGTGACAGACGAAACTGCTACTATGTCAGGCCCTAGATGACAGAAGACAAAGGGGCTGGAGAGCAGGTCACCTCTAAAATGGTGTTTATTCAAAGTCTACAAAGGAGAAAGAGGCACTGTGCAGGTGGCTGCGGGCTCAGGGCACAGGTGTGTGGGGGGAGAAACAGTGATGGAGGGGTCACTGACCCTGCTAAAAGGAGGATTTTAGGAGCCATCAGTTTACCAGAGCCCCAGGGGCGGGGCAGAGGGGCATCACCCTGTTTGGGTCCAGTGTTGGTGAGGTCACCGTCTTGACTAGCTGTTCTTCCTCTCCCAAACAGCCCTCGGTGGCCATGCATCCAGCACAATCACCATCACTCTTTCTTTAAGATTTTATTTACTTATGACAGAGAGAGAGAGAGAGAGAGAGAGAGAGAGAGAGAGAGAGAGAGAGAGGCAGAGAGAGAAGCAGGCTCCGTGCAGGGAGCCTGACATGGGACTTGATCCTGGGTCTACAGGATCACGCCCCGGGCTGAAGGCAGCGCTAAACTGCTGAGCCACCGGGGCTGCCCACCATCACTGTTTCTAGTTTAGCTGCCCCAGTCACCAGAATGGTTTTGCCTGATTTTTCTCTGTCTGGTGTGTCTCATAAAGGGTCCTAGGCTAGGCAAGACCAGTTCAATTAAATTCTTACAAGGGTTTAAAACAACCAGTGGTACGAACCCTGCCAGGTCCTGCTGACTTCCCTTGTTTGTCGGAACACAGAATGTTTCAGGGCCTTTGTCCTGTTAATCACCAAAAGATCCCAAATGTGCTTTTTTTTTTTTTTTTTTTTTTTCCCAAATGTGCTTCTTTGGCTCCTCTACTACAAATAGATTTTCGTAACAGGTTGAGGTGCTTCTCAAATTGCATCCTGACCTTAGTATCACCTGGGATATTTATTAAACTATAAGTTCATGGGCCATACCCCACAATGAGTAAGAATTAATTAGGGGCAGAGTCTAGAAAATTTTCTGAATTTAACAAGTTCCCTCAGGTGATTCTGAGTAAGGGGAGTCCTTGGCCTATAATTTGCAATTTGGCCAATTAACTAGGTTTTCAAAATATTCCTGCTTAAAGCAAAACACTCGGGCTCCTGAGTCCAGAAGTTAGTAGGTGATGTTTGCCAGATACTACCAGGTGCCAGTGCTTCTATGCTTGTCATCTTTTTTTTTTTTTTAATTTTTATTTATTTATGATAGTCACACACAGAGAGAGAGAGAGAAAGAGGCAGAGACATAGGCAGAAGCAGGCTCCATGCACCGGGAGCCCGACGTGGGATTCGATCCAGGGTCTCCACAATCGCGCCCTGGGCCAAAGGCAGGCGCCAAACCGCTGCGCCACCCAGGGATCCCTATGCTTGTCATCTCTAATGCTCTGATAAGGTACCTATTATACCCATTATACAGGTGAGAAAATTTGCCCCATGTGTTAGGAAGTGGCAAAATTCAACCCAAGTCCACGCAAGTCCAGAGTTTTGTTTTTAGCTATGTCGCTCTGCTTGTTAGGCTAAAAAAAATGCTACCAGTAAAATGACTGATAAAAACTGGTACAACCATTGTGAATACTGGGGATGTGAACCGTTATTGGGTAGGTCATGTGACAGGTAATTTCCCTAGTGTTTTGGTTTTTTTTTTTTTAGAAAGATTTTATTTATTACTTATTATTATTTATTATTGATTTTTTTAATTTATTCTTATTTTTTATTTTTTTTATTTATGATAGTCAGAGAGAGAGAGAGAGAGAGAGAGAGAGAGGCAGAGACACAGGCAGAGGGAGAAGCAGGCTCCATGTACTGGGAGCCCGACGTGGGATTCCATCCCGGGTCTCCAGGATCATGCCCTGGGCCAAAGGCAGGCGCCAAACCGCTGTGCCACCCAGGGATCCCTATTTTATTTTTTTTTAAGATTTTATTTCTTTATAGAGATGCAGAGAGAGAGAGAGAGGCAGAAACACAGGCAGAGGGAAAAGCAGGCTCCACGCAGAAAGCCTGACGTGGGACTCGATCCAGGGTCTCCAGAATCACGCCCTTGGCTGCAGGCGGCGCTAAACCGCTGCGCCACCCGGGCTGCCCCAGTGTTTTGGTTTTTATTAAGGTTTTTGTAATCTCTGCTTTGGGGATTTTTTCAAGAACTCTAGAATTGGTGAACTCTCCAGCCAGGCATGAAGGGGCTCCTTTTTTTTTGTCACTGCTCTTTGTGTGAGGAGGAGTCGGTTAGGAGGAGCCCCTAGATCTGATTCAAGCTAACAGTCCAGGTTCTTTATCAAAAGGCATCTTTTTGGACCCCCAGGAAGCAGATCTAATGCCGAATTAGATGCTAATTAGTTCAGTCCACCATTCCTTTAATTCAAACCAAAAGTGGCTCTCTGGGGTCTAAATTATCCAGATCAGTACTGGTTTTCTGCTTTAACTAGTGTTTTGGCCAAGTCACCCTGGTAGGATTAGCCTGCAGGCCTCGCTGCCACCTAATAAAAGAGGCAAAAATAGATTAAGGAAATAGCTGTGCCTGCAGGAGGCCGAGTGTCTGGGTTAGAAGGCACAGACTCCCTCAGAATGCAGGATGCCAGGGTAGGGCTGGTCTGGGAAAGGGACCCTCCCTGCTCAGGTGGTTGCCTCTCCTGCCACGTGGCAATCAGAACCTCATTTGAACATATCCCCAGTACTTTGTCAGTGCTCGGTAAACCTGTTTAATAGAACCAGGTATTTAAAAAATACGCTTAACAAGAACATTCATTTCTTCCTCTTTCTGGGAATTGTGAGAGGCCTGGAACTTCTTATTCCAGGAGGGATGCCTGACACACTAGAAATACAGCAGCTTCTCAGGGGATGAACCCAATGACAGGGCAGTGGACATAGTGGTTTAGAGTGAAGCATTGGCTCTGCAAGTTATAGTCCTCATTCTACATCTCAACTCTGCTAAATGGCAGCTGCAGGGTCTGGGCATATTACTGAAGAAAAGTAAGACTTAGATTCTTATAAAACAGAAATGCTGGCAGTTATCTCTTTCACAAGGCTACTGTGATGGTTAAGTGAGCTAACGCAGGGGGGCTTAGCGTCCAGTACATAGTCATTGCTCAGTAAGCGGAAGCTGTGAACCTGAGGCCCACAGTTCCCCTGCCATGAGGGGGCAGCTTTCCACAGCTCAAAGCAGCACCTGGTGCTCATCTGTTCTCGCAAGAGGATAGGAGAGGCCACAGAGAGGGGGAAGCCCAGGATGCCATTTCTGCCAGCAATAAGGTTTCTTGGCATTGTTTATCCCAGAGCCATCCCCACCTCGTCTTCCATCAGTGAGGGGAGCGGCAGCTTTGTACCAGTCTGCAGAAAGGAGACTAGATCAGGAATGCTGCTGAGAGGCAGGGATTCCTTCATGCCTCTACACTTACCTGGAATATAAACAAAACCTGTTTTTTTTCCCCCTTGAATTCAGTATCTTCAAGGGAACTCATTAATACCAGCCACCCAATCAACAGGTTCCAGATATGTACGTTTTTTAAATTACGTTTATTTAGCGTATGTACACATAAAAGAGAAATCGCCCTCTGATCCCACCCAGCAGAAAACATGCACAAACCCAAGGTATATGTGGAGGGAAGGGGCCCCAGCCCCAAGTTAGTGGTTGGGATGGTGCAATCCTGGGAGTCCCAAGCCCCAGTCAGGAGAGAGCTGGCCCGAAGTAGCGGGCAGCCCCCCTGCTGCCAGCCCTAAAATAAGCGTGCGCCATAGCCAAAGGTCTGTTTGATGCCCTCAAAGTAGTACCGCTGCCAGCCCTGCCGCGTCCTCTCTTCCTCGGGGGCAGGGATGCCTCTGCCTTCCATGCACAGCTCAGTCTCTCCATTCTTGTCAAGGAAGGTCAAGGTGATGGTGGCAAAGTGCCCTGGAGAAAGGCAGAGAGGAAGGGGGGTTTCAGATCCATGGTTTCCAATCAGGATTTGAGACAGGGGAAAAGAGAAAGAGTTCTGGAGGGTAATAGCAATAAGCAAATAAATGTACTTACCTTCTGGCCAAGATTTAAACCTCCATTTCATCACAATAAGTTTCTCAGGGACCTAAAATATCAAAGACATTGGTCTGTACTGTGGACTACAACATACCCCATCCTGGTAGGGAGTGGCCACCTGCCTTCCGTACGGTCTATCCTCTGTGCAATTCTACAACTTAGAGGCACAAAGTGGACCACTACTGGTGGCTTCTGCACCAATACCAGCTGCGGCTTCTCCTCTTACGCCCCAATTGGGTCCGGTCAGCTGTGCCCAGGTGACATTTCAGTGATGCAAATGGAAAATCACTAGCCACCAACATATAGGACCCTCTTCCACAAAGAATTTCTTCAGGAAGAACTAATTTTAC